GAGCTAATGATGGGAACCCACAAATCAGTTCCAAATTTGTTGCCCCATGTTATTATATGAACAAGTAAGCCCAAGGATTTAGTGTTGTTGGAAGTAAATTTTGCATGTGTTTCATTTCATTTTTCACATGTGCTTTCTTCATTATCGTGAGTTTAAATATGATTACATGGAAGAATTTTGTACAGTTGAGTTCTGCTAATGTTTCAATGCAAAGTTTTGGTCAGCTTGCTTTGTGTATCGAGTCATAATCATCCTGACTCACACACGTTCAAAACAAAAATGATTCTTGAGTACCAAAGCATCCTCAATATGTGAATGAATTATTTATTTAACTTAAATTTTACAATGCTGAGATAATTATTTTTCTCTGCTTTTTACCTTTTGAAATTTCTTTCACCTTTAATATGGGATCCGTATGAGGTGGAAGAATTCCCAGATTAGTTGTGTGCTGCTGCTGCTGCTGCTGCTTTTTTAATACAAGACCATGGAAAAACCATGTAGAGAGTTACAAAATCAGGTCATATCAGTTTCTAAGAGGATTCTACATCTCGAAGGTGGATGACTAAAAATAAGAAGATCTAAATTGCTTTCAGATGCATGGCAAGTGAGCATAGCAGCTCATCTGTTAGCTTTTTTGAACATGTTCGAATGTGACCATCCAGTTTTTGTGAAATCCCTAATTTTCTTAATAATTTCCAAAAGGGGATGGCTTTCAAAAAGTTATGCTGGATGAGCGAAAGAGCTTTCGTGAAATTAGAATGAATATTAATTTTTGTGAATTTAGCATTCCAACAAAGGTTACGACCTTCTAAGATGCTCAAAAGTTTAGCCGCAATATTGGGGTGGTAATTAAGATATTTTGACTTTTCTTTGGACGTGAGTTTATGGAGTTGGTAGACATATAATAGTGCAGTTGAAGGCAGTTGTGACTTGCTGTTTATTGTTTCATGTGCTATCAAGATGACTTTTCAATAAGAATTACTTAATGCTGGTATGATATCATTGTTCCACATGTCATTGCTTTTACATCTAAATCTACTTGTATTATCTTTGCAGAATAGAGATTAACACCAAGCTCCCAATAGTTGGTGACCAAAAATGGGTAATATGGATATGTTCTTTCAATGTCCCCATGGCACCTGGTAAGACTCGCTCCATTGTTTGCAGTGCCCGAAACTTTTTCCAGTTGACAGTGCCCGGACATGCATGGTGGCAAGTAAGAATTCCATGTTCAAGGCTGTCATTTTGTTTTCTTTGATTAATGCTCCAAAGCTTCTTAAATCGGGTATTTATTTTTGGCTTATAAATGTTTCAGGTGGTTCCTAGATGGTATGAACATTGGACCTCGAACAAGGTATATGATGGAGACATGATTGTTCTTCAAGGTCAAGAGAAAATATTTCTTGCAGAGACCCATGAGGGGTCCGGGGATGTTAACAAGCAGTACACAAAACTCACCTTCACACCAACACAGGCAGATCGCTTTGTCTTGGCATTTCGAAATTGGCTAAGGCGACATGGTAACAGCCAACCAGAATGGTTTGGCCTGAGCAGCCAGCAGCCATTGCCATCAACAGTTTTAACAAAACGTCAGGTTTGAAAATTGACCATGTGTTTTATTTGACATCGCCACAACTTTTCCCACAAACCAAGAATCAAAACCCTTTTTAAAAAATGGTGCTTCCTCTGGACTCTTGATGTTAAAAGCACACATGCATAGATGTTCTTGACGAGAAATGATTGGTTAAATTTTTAATTTCAATGTGTTCCTTGATTTTTACTATGCAACACCCATATCCCTGTGTGAAAGATGGGTAGGGCAGAGATGGAGAAGTCTCTGTTTGAGCTTGTCCAAGGGGTTAGAGCATCAGTTATATCCTGAATTAAGCATTATTTTTTCGCAGATGCTGGATAGATTTGAACAGCACACTCTGAAGTGTTCATCATGTAAAGGAGCTTATACAGCATTCCAGAAATTGCAGAAGATTCTTATTGGTGCAACAGTTGTGTTCTGTGCAACGTCGGGAATCCCTTCAGAGACATATTTCCGAGTAGTTCTAGCCGGACTTGCAGTCGCTAGCGCTGGCTTGGCTTTTGCCGTAAACGAGCTCCAAAAGAATTTTGTATTTGTTGATTACGTGCATGCTGATATTGATTAGACACAACACACAGCCTTCAATCCTCATGCGAATCCGGTAAAGCAGAGCCTTTACAATCTCAGCAAACAATTGTAATAGTGAGGTTTTTACACTCTTGTATATATTTATAAAAGGTTAAATTCAGCAAACACTGTCACCAACCTTTTTCTTTTGCTGGACTAGAAACGTTTTAGGTAACCTTATCATGAAGCATCGCTATGAATTAAAGTCCCTAGAGGTTGAGTTACATGAACTTATTTTCCTTACAAAAACAGTCTCTTGAGGTTAAAAAATGTGATGACAAAAGAATTGTTCACAATAAATTCTGTAATCCTTTTGTTTTATTTTATTTTTGTGATACTTCTATTTTTAAAATGTTGTCGTTCAATTTTAATTTTTTAAACAAATTCAGGCTTTATTTAGATACACATGTAAATCAAGGGGCTGTTTCGTTCGAAGAAGCAGAGGGGCCCCTAAAGTATGAAGCCTAATTGGATCCCTTCTTTGGCCACATGCTATTTTTGAATTGAAGGTGTTGGAATTGCCCGTGCACTTTGACGCACGGTCAGACGTAGGGATTATCAAATAATAACTGTGTGAGCCAAATAATTAAGAGGATATAGGATAACACTTAAAAACACGCACATCCACACCGCATAAGGTATAATATACATACAAACAACCATCCTAAGCATTGCAAAAGTTACCTATAATTAATACTAATATGAATCCACCATTTTATTAATTGATTGGAAGAGTGTTCTTCATGCTTAAACAAATTTATTTATCAATGTTTGATCCAAAGAATCAAAAGAGATCTTGACATATAATATAATAGGATAGCTTTGTTTGGGAGATGTGGGAACTCAAAAAAAGGGCAGCGCTGATTCCTTTTTTTTTTTTTTTGGGGGGGGGGGGGGGACTTTCCCTATCCTATTGCAAACTACTAAACTACAAACTTTGAAGTCTAAGATTATTTTCGAAGGGTATAATCTGTCCCACAAACTCGAACGAGACGCTACGTGTCGGAGCAGTAGTTAGTAGTTAGTATCCCCTCACAACAATAGGGTAGTTTAATTAGTTGAGCTTCATCAAACACAAATATTTGGAAGCTCACAAAATCTTGCATTCAAAACTTCAACTCAGCACCTCTTCCATATTACGCTTTTAAGTCGTGTTGTTATTTGATCATGCATGAATTGTGCAGCTCAATGGCGCATTGTGCCCCGCGTTGCACATTAATACGTACCATTATATATAAATATAATATAATATAGTCCCCCCCCCCCCAAAAAAAAAAAAAAAAACAAAACCAACACACACACACACTTTTTTCTGTGGGCATGCAAGGCAAGCCTAATTATGCATCAGATCTTGCTAATCACAGCAAACTGGGTCCACTTCCTCCCCTCAGTTATTTAGTTTTCAAGCATTCCTTAGACCAGTCCAGTGAATGTGTTTTGTGCCACCTATTCAACATGGAATGCTACATTTCAATTACTCTCTTTGATTCTATCATTTAATCATTTCTAACATATTTTGCTATAATTAAAAAATATTTTAAACCTTATTATCTTAAAATTTAAAAAGTTTATAATTCTATCACTTAATAAAGACAAAAAAATTATTAATTAAAATTTAATAAAGGCGTAAAGGTAAAGATAAATATAAAATTAATATTTTTCTCCGTTTTATAAATAAAACAGCCTTCATATCAAGTGTGCATCAATTGAAATAAATAGATTCAATCGTATTTTGTAGATTCGTAAGCTTTGCCAAAATAATGATATTAAATTGATCTTGAATTTACAATTCACCTACCTATATATCCTGCTTCCCTACCGCTTAGGATTAAAAATTATTAATAGCGTGTTTAATTTTGGAAGAATGATAAATAAGTCCTAAAAGGATCAATTAATTTAAATTAAATTTTAAATATTAAATTTTAAAAATTTATAACTTAATCTCTTAAATTTGTAACTATATTATGATGAATTTATAACTTATTCTTCAAATTTTAATATGAATGAATAATACAATTTTTTTTAAAATTTAAAATATAAGTTATAAACTTATCACAGCTAAATTATAAAATTAAAAAATTAAATTATAAATTCGTAAATTTTAACATTTAAGACTAAAATTAATTCGTCTTTTAGCACTTCTCTATCATTCTACCTTTAATTTTTGGTTGGTATTATTGATAATTAAAAGTGTCAGTTGTACTTATGATTCTTAATTGGTTGTCAAGTTCAGTTCGATATAATCCAATAGAGTCTGGCCTCGTCGGCCTTTGCTGCTTTTAAGATTTGTATCTTGTAGTTTGCCTTAAGAGTTAAAACTTAACTCGAAAATCTTTATTGTCAACCTCGAGGGGGAAAAACAACTGGCAATCGATATCAAAGCTCTTCGTAATCTTGAATGAAACTGTACTGTAAGTGTAGATCTTGGAATGACTGCAAATGTGGAAGGCAGAGAAAATTACAACGCTGCTGGAGTCCTGAAGGTCAAAGATCATAGCTGAAGAATGGCAAGAATCGCGCATTTTCCCTCGATTAAAAAGGAACAACTTCCAAATCATGAGCAATAATGAGGAGAATTTCTAAAAAAGAGATTCAACTAAAAATCCGTTCAGACCAATGTGTCCGCAGCGAGGGATATTTATTGGTACCGCTCGACCCTCCAATCAAATGTGGTTTATGCTTACCTGTATGATCAGCTGGTACGTAGTTGAGCAATAGACTTACAGTTGAGATGTTAATTACTCTGCTGGCATGGATCATGGTCGAGCCATTTGGAGACTTCTCAAATTTAATATCTGAGCATTCTTTCAATCACATCCATCTCAGTTTACCTTTGCAGTTAACTTGAAAAAAATATATATTAACTTTATATGATGCTATAAAGTTCACATTTTCTTCTATCCTGTGTCACGACTCACAATTAGGTAAATTAAAAGCCATCAGATTACAAGACAATATCTGAGCTTTCATAAATATAACTGCACACGGTTAATTAACTATATAAAATGCAGTAGATTTTATTTATCGCACACACTGAGTATATAGAACGGCGAAGCTTGGAGAAGAAGACCTTCAAGATCAATCATCAAACGCTTCATCTTGAACTACCATCTGCCTGCAGTTGCAAAGCCTTCTGCTCTAACAAATTTCCTGAATACGACAAGGCGCTGACAGCTGGAGCGTGCCCAACGAACAAAGCAACATGGCCCATGAGCTTGTCTTTCCTTGAAAACGTATTACCACACGAGCACTGCCACTTGAGATCCCCGCAGTGCTTCTCGTGTGTTCTCAGATCTGACAGCACCGAGAACTGCTTCAAGTTGCACCTTTTGCACACGTACATCTTTGGACAATGGCTTCTCTTGTAGTGATTCTTCACACATATCATTGACTTCAAAGGTTGAAACTTGGCATGCTTCTGGTTCCACCTACATCCTTCCTGTGGACATGAATATTTCTTAGGCCTATACGTGCTCATCGAACATTCCTTGCCTCTATTCTTCATCGGGTTGCTCAAGGCAGCACTCGTCTTGTACTCGTCTCCATGAGCTCTCATATGCATCCTCAAATTCGCATCTCGCTTAAACCCTTTCCCACAAATTTGACAGTAATGTGTGTACTTGGCCAGCAAATCTGCAGCATCCAATTCAATTATGTCGTCGCCCTTTCCTTCATTATTGTTTTCATCCCCTTGAAATACTTCTCGCTTTGTCGCACTTATTCCAACGCTCGGATGATCATCATCCTTAAGATTATTAGCACAATCATTGTTATTATCATAGCTTTCACCACCGAGCCAGTCCAAGGTTTGATCAAGACCAGAAAAATTACTTTGCTCTCTGTGTTCGGCTATGGTATTTGAATTATTACTATGCACACCTGTATAATTGCCAAAGGTGGATTCAGTGCAATGAATACCTGGTGGTGGAGAGAAGTTAAGGACCATGTGTTGGCACGTGAGCATCATGGAAGAGGCGGTGACTATGAACTCCTGGATTATAGAATTCATACTGGCTAAGGTTGTACAGGTCGAGTCTGGTAGGGTCGGATCCGAGGAGATAAGAATACCCGCGAGGGTCTGAACCTGCGTAAGCTTGTCTTTGAGGGCGGAGAGATTGAAGACGAGCGAGATTGATTGAGAAGGAGCTGATTCAACAGAAGGCGAAACCAGATTATCACCAGCCGCAGGAGGAAACATGTTGTGCAGGTCTTGAGAGAGATTTGGGAAACCAGACGCTGTGCCCCTTGAAATCATATTTTGATCTGTCTCTTGAATTTCGGATGTTTCGAGGGAGGTGTGGGCTCTGTAATTTGGATCGTCGAGTACAAAGAGACGCATGAGAGACGATTCTCCAATATTTATAAGAAAGGTTGAAACTATTGGGTCGTAATACAGATAGATACGCAGAGATGCAACATTTAGTCAACCGTGTGAGCTAACGGGAAATCCTTCCCCACTTACAACCTGCCTTGCATGTACCCAAAAAGAGTATGAAAAGGAAAATTATTGCAACCGAAGGGGTTGATATATATAAGTTGAGTGTAGCTTCGTTGGACGACCAATTACACGTTGAAAATCTTAAATTGCTTTCGCTTTCTTGTTCGTTTCTTCTCTCCTTATATAAAGAATTCATTTTTGTCTTTTCCATTGAATGCTCACTGTTCAATCTTGAGTCTTTAAAATTCAATGGTCAATATATTGGAAAGGTTTGACATGTTCAGAACGAGGTGTCGTCTTCTTAGCTTGTCTTTGAAAGAAACCTTGAATTCACAATAAGCAACAAATATGAAATAACCCAACTCAAAACCTAACGGCGGCTTGCATGCGCAGATTCTCAATTTCGAGCTTGAAATTTACATTTAATTTTTATTGCTAGGCAATAATAATATTCACCATGTCTTTTGATGATATATTTATAGAAAGGAAGAAAATGTGCATGATTGGAAAGAAGCGTATTTGAGAGTCACCATCCGATTTGACTTTTAAGCTTGTCTTGAATTATGTCTGTGATGGAAAGATACGCATGCTTCGCAGGAGCATGAGCATTGCCAAAAAGGCATCGCGTTGGACACTTAGGTGTGTGCATTATTATTATCATAATTATAAATAAATAAAAGAATAATATAGTTTCCACGTGTATGACAGTACAAGGGAATCTCTCGATGCGTGCCGTTTTTCATTTTAGGTGTGCAACCTTCACATTTTCTTACCGTCTTTTTTCTCCACTTTTCTTTGCAGTTCTCAACTTTCCATTCACTTGTTGCAGCCATTAATCTCTTCAAGCTTTATACATGCCCCCCCTTCCTATACTCTTCTACCATTTATATGTGTGTATGTTTGATACAATTAAACTGCGACTTAAACTAATCAAATTTACAGAATACCTTTTCTACTTTCATACTTTCATATAAACTTAAATTTAAAATATCATATTTAAATAGTCACAATCTCTTTCGTTAAAACAAATATATGTAACGTTTCTTTTGTACTCACCCCTATATTTTAATGACTAAGTTACTAATTATTATAATTGTCAAGGGCCTAAACATGCATTCAGATGTCAGCCGCTTGATTTACGCCTTTTTTCCCTAAAGAGTCCAAATCATTTTCTCTATTCAACAATATCAATCATTTATAACTCAACATGTTAAATCAGCAACATCTAGCTTATTTACGCTTCTTAATTATTAATTGATTATTTATTTTTATTGGTTTGAAATTAATTTGTTTGTGCTTGTTAAAATTTTCTAATTTCGATCAAATTGTTATACTGTTATGAAAATAGCCAATTTTCAATTTTGTGAACTGCACAATGGGCATCTGCTGGTTATAAAAAAAAAAAAGAATTATGTTTAAGTCACACTCAACACAATTAATTATTCCTAAATTCGTTAACATAAGCCTAGTCAAATGACAACACATTTTTCATTCTTTTAAGTGCTGCTATCAATATATTTAAGAGTAATTAATTATTTTGTGTCAGATTTAAATTAATTATCCCAAAAATAATCCCCTCCCCTATAGCTGTGAACGACTCACGATTGCCATGTCGTTGCCCTGTTTAAGAGTTGAATAAACGACATGTCGCAAATCAGGCTGCGCGCCCTGAGGCAAAGAAGATAAGACCGGAGCGCGAAGAAAGGGAGACACGGTAAGTTGAGCTCTGGGTGGAGCGGACAACAATGGCATCCGTAGTGTCTAATCTGTCGTGGAGTTCTTCCCTGTTCCAAAGAATCGGCGAAAGCTTGAATGAAGGCACTAAATTGCCCAACAACAGGATGGTCTTCGTGGTTTTTGCACAAAAGAAGACAAAGAAAACTCGAAAGGTAGTGTGGATACTGTACAGGATAATTTGGACTATCATCTATGTTGTTTAAGTTTTTAATTACCTTATTTTGTTACTCTCGAATCTGTAAGGGGAAAATAAAAGCTCTGTCTTCCATGGAAGTAGGAGAGGTGGGGAACGCGAGCTAGACAGTCGCTTTTGTTCTTGATTATTATTCATGTGTAACCAGTAGCCTAGTCTGAATTCTTTGACTAATTATTGCGCTTCACTTCCTGCGTTATGTTGGGCTGTTGCTGCTGTTTCCATCCTGCTCTTGTGCTATTTGTGAGGTCAGATTATCTTGAAGGAAGACGTTCCTGATCTTGGAAAGAAAGGGCAACTTCTTGATGTGAGGGCTGGATTTTTCAGAAATTATCTGCTACCCATGGGACAGGCCCAGATTGTCACTCCTTTGCTGCTCAAGTAATGTATCATCAAACCAATACCACGCTAGACCTCCAAGTGGCCAATTTTAACGGCATTTATCTTCTTGAATATTTTACAGCTTATGTTTTTCAATTTCCCTTTTTTTTTAAAAAAATAAAGTTCAGTGGATATAGAACGTTCCAGAGTAGTCCCTTGTAAATCCAGCAATAAGATCAACTATAAAAGTTCAGGAAATATAACTGTCCCCACTACACGATATTGTATACAAGGGAATCTGTTGTAGGCAGTTTAGGTGCTTGCTACAATGTAGCGTGTAAACTTTATGGACATGTTATTTAATTGGACATGATGGTATGGGTGATATTTGATTGTTGTACCATAAAAAATAGACTTTGTATCTATAACGACTTCTGAAAAATATATTTCATCTTGTTGGATAATAAGTAAAAAAATGACCAAGTCTAGATACTTTGGTTAGTCGTTTGTTTCCTGTTTTAGTAATTTCTATTCGCAGGTCACGGGTATTGTATGTTGCATGTCAGTCGGAATCTAGTTTTGACTCCAAGTTAGCCTCTTTGTTTGCTTTTTACTGAGTTTGTCATTTTCTATCAATAGACTATGGTCTGTCAAATAAAATACCACCATTCTATCATCCCTTGCTCTTGTCTTGGCTTCCCCGTTTCAGTTGTTTCCTTTACCTAGAATTTTGTAACAGTACAGCTAAAGAGAAAAACTGAAATATGGAAGCATAAAGTCATAAACTATAGCAATAGATTCTTGGATGGTACTATTTTATTCCAAGAACTGTTGGCCAGCCTATTTATGGGCGGCTATAGTGTACATAAAGGAAAAATCTGAATGAAAACAAACTCCTATTAATCTGCAACGTATTGACTGCCTGAGCTAGCAAAATAGAAGATTTGTTACTAACAACTAGATTCATTGCTAACAATGAGTAGATTCGGTCAATATTGACTTATTCAATAGTTTCTTTTTTAAAGTGAAAAACCATGTATTCTGTTTAATAATGCGAGCTGCAACTCTTAAACTGGATTCAGCATGTTGCAAACACTATGTAATTTTGCCAGTTTCACAAATGAAGCCAATGTGAGAAGCTTGGTGAAAATGTTAGCAACTTGACCTTTACTCTTTCAACAGACCGCATCAATCATTTCCTCCTTTTGAGAGATTTCTCAAGAAATGAAACTACACGTGTGCATGCTCACATTTTCTTCTTCCATGCAAGATTGGATATTTTGAACGTTTTATTGCTGGGGTTGGTCCTCGTTTTGTGAACCATACTTCTGCAAGTAACACATCTTCTATATTTGAGTGAAAGAGAATATATATTTACTGGAGACCTTAATTAGAATAACTGTACTTGCTGCAATCATCAATATAAAATATCAAATCTTTGGCAAGTTCTATTATCCATAATTCATGAATGGTGAATATTTCTGACTCTATGATGCATGGGGAAACTTGTGTGGTTTACTTATATTACATCCTTGTGGCTTTAATGTTATGGTTGAGCTTACGTATGTTTCCATAAAATAATGGCTACAATGACATTGGAACTTCTGCTATGTACATTCATTGAGACATGGGATTGTAGTTGTGGCTTTTTGCTGAAAATAGTTGCATTTCTTGCTTTATAATAGTTGATACTTCTTAATTATAAAGTTACTGATCCGACCATTTCTACCTGTCAAGTCTTATGGGCAAGTTATGTTGACTGGATAATTGAATTTCCAGTCAGCCTTGGTCATTTGAGTGCAACATATCTTTCATGGTTGGATTTTTCTGTGTAATGAATGTTGTAGTCGGTGTTTTGAAATGAAGGCAGTAAAGCATTATGTGCAACGGTTTTGGGATACTTTTTCCTTGAATTGCCTTATATAACATTTTTCTTAACTTCTCTACCCAGGGAAATGAAGATGGAGGAGGAGAGAATTGAGGCCGAGAAAAGACGGGTAATTTGTCCTATTCCTCATATTATTTTTTAGCAGAACATTTTGTGGTTGTGCACTGCAAAGCTTGCCGTTATTGACTTGGAGCAGGAGGTAAGGAATGCTATGCTATTAAGATTTTCATGTAACAGTTGCAACAAGGGCTGATTGCTGAACATGAAGTCTCTTCATCATCATCCTCCTTATTTTCCTTTTATTTTTGGTCTGATGTTTGAGCAACATATTTTATTTTCTTAAAAAAATTGTACTGTAGTTGTTTCTCCGACTTCATTTTCATAGATGCTACGTGTTATCTAAGTTCATTGTTCTGCAGGTTAAAGAAGAGGCACAGCAACTTGCTCTAATTTTTGAAACTGTTGGAGCTTTTAAGGTGAAGCGTAAAGGTGGCAAAGGAAAACAAATTTTTGGAAGGTGAGTTTTGACCAGTGCCATGCTAAGCAGTCAACTTATGCCCTCAAATTCAAATCTTCTATGTCATAATTATGTTTTTTTATCCTTTCTTAGTGTTACAGCTCAAGATCTTGTTGATATAATCAAGGCACAGCTTCAGAGGTACAGCAGTCTTCCCAATATATAGAACTCCTTTTGAAAATCTTGCGCATATTATCTGAAAATTGAGATAGAGATAGGGGTTGTGTGTGTGTGTGTGTGTGTGTAGAGAGAGCGCCTGTTCTTTTATTAGCGACTTGTTTGCTTTCAAGTGATGTCACTTGAGCACATATGACTGGTAATAAACTTCTAAGTGGCTTAATGTCAACCTGCTGTATGATCATCCTAGTTCTTGAGATTTATTGTTTTCCCGAAGTGTTGAGAATTGTTGATGATTCTATATTCACTACCTCATCTGTCTTGATCTTGTAGTAGATTATACTTTTAGTATATTTTTCTTTGATAATATAAATTGATCTTCATGTTTTGTTATCTCTTTAATTCATTCCTTTTTTTTTTTATTTGTTTTCTGCCGTTACTCTTCAGGGAGGTAGACAAGAAAATTGTTTCTCTTCCAGAGATCCGGGAAACAGGAGAGTATATTGCAGAGTTAAAGCTACATCCTGAAGTTACAGCTAGAGTTCGGTTGAATGTTTTTGCTAACTAAGCATAGGCCTGTTCTGAAATTTCATCTGCTGGTGCAAGCTTCCTACTTCTTCCTAAGGTACACATGACCATCCAATGATAGTAAATCTGTAGGGATTAAGTAGTTTTGTAATCATGTCCGAGTTACTCTTAACTGAGGAAGGGAATCTTGCTGCTGCTGCTTTCTTCCCCCCTCTCATCTCCCTCATTTTCCCGAAGTGTATGTTTGGATCAAGGAGAACTTTTTTTTTTTTTTTTAATTCAATCCCCATAATCGGATTAAGTAGTTTTGTAATCATGTCCGAGTTACTCTTAACTGAGGAAGGGAATCTTGCTGCTGCTGCTTTCTTCCCCCCTCTCATCTCCCTCATTTTCCCGAAGTGTATGTTTGGATCAAGGAGAACTTTTTTTTTTTTTTTTTAATTCAATCCCCATAATCCTGACAATCTAAATGTCATACCATTTTCAGGATAACTGTTTTAAAATGACTACTATTCTGATGGCAAAAGATACTTCCCTAGTCCCTTTTTGGCCTAGTGAAACATAAAAACAGACTTTATAGTTTAATTTCCTATGTTTTGGTTCAATTCCTAAATTTAAATTAGAATGAGAAAATATCTTAATACCCCTGAGTGCCACTTATGAGCGATTAACTCTCATGAACATGGTCCCAGTGTCGGAGTGTTTGACGCATGGATATGAAATGGTATGTGTTTGAGTGGAGGAAAATCACCTCAGCTAGTTCTTTGTGACAAACAATAATTGATGAATTTGTTGAGCTGCAGTCCATGCAATGAAATCAAAAAATACGTCTGAGTCCAATAATTTGTTTATCGTGGTGTCTCATGCAGATTCTGATTGATTTGGATATGCACATTGGAGGGCAACAAATTTGCTGAAACTGACTGATTAAGCTCACATTCTAACATTCTACCAGCAGTTGTATTTATTGTGTTGTTCATGTAAGTTTTTTGGTGGGCCCTTTGTAACAATTTCCTTTTCTTGAGTTTTAAATAAAAAGATGCAATTAAAGAAATTGCGAGCACACGGAAGAGAAACGTGAAGCAGCAGGGCACCTTGTTATCTTGAACGAAAGCACAAGATTACTAACACAACTATCGTGAATCTTACCATCATGTATTGATCTCAGTAAAAGAAGTTATGGTTGTTTAAGTACAAGATCTTAAGTTTGAATTCGTATAAATGTGAAAAACATCTTTAAGAAAGTTATTCTTAATTGAATTTGATAATATTTGGATATATTCCGGTTAGATAGGTAGATCAAAAAATAAACGATGAACCTGGATGTCATATGTAGTTCTCTGAGGTCTGTGCCAGGCTGACACCAACGAAACACCTGAAATGTGAAGTGAGATAAAAGAGAATTTACTAGGTGGTTTCCAAGTTATATACATCCACTTATTGACTGATCGCTAACATTGGATGTTAAATGACATAGTTCACAATGTAGTCCGTAACTTGAAGTATAATGGTTAAACTTCTTTGATGGTCAACTAATAATTAGTGGAAGTGCATCTTTTGCGGAATTTGTAGGAATTTCGACTGATCAATGGATAATAAAATTTTAAAGGTATTGTACTATCTGTAACTTAGTGGGATTCATTCTTTGGATTTGAATAAACGTATATCCAGTTTTGTCCAACGAGTCGAATCCATTAGTAGCTGGAGCAAACATGCTTGTCTCTTTTTCTCACTCGTCAGCTATCGGAAGATTGCACGAGGGGAAATAAATATAAATGTCCGTATGTTTTCCGTTCAGTTATTGTGGCTGGCGAAAGATTAATCTTAAATCAGGCCCTTTGTCCTTAACCACAAAGGACTCGGCTGACTAAGCCAAGTTCTGTCCACGGATAATTGGATATGTTTGGGGAGAATATTGTGATTGGCTGATTGGCTTCAGGAGGAGGTGTATCTTGAAATGGCATGGGCACATATACAGGTTTCAAATGGCACCACGTTGCTGCCAGATCCTGCACCAATTCAAACAATGCTGCCACGTGTTGATATAGCATCTAATATAATATGGGTCCTATCCAATATTTGCTTTCACTGTATTTGCCATTGGAAAAGCCAACCAAACCCAAACCAGTGAAGTAGATTTTAGGTAGCCATACTCCACCGAAGTAAGAACTACCACTCGAGAGATGAAAACGAGAGATCCACATTAATTATTAATCCGCCATAGTATACCAAACCCAATAGATAAGGTTAGGTTCTGCTTAATTTGGAGCCAAACTCTGTTGATCAACAGAAGGCTTAGTAATTCCTTCGGTGGCATCGAAATTTGTTCAACTCATTTACCCAAATAGAAATGCTGGCCAGTGCCTACTTTGGTGGGTCATGATTTCATAATAACTCATGCAGAGGCTTGTAGTTATGAACAGGACAAGAAGCCACATAGCAAACCAACTCATGCATCTGAGGCACTTGTCCCTATCAACAAAGAGTGACCATTTTAGCACTACACTCTCAAGCAAAAAGGATAACAACTACATGCTCTGTGTTTATTTGCTCCTGTGGTGTCCCTTCACTAGAGGCTATAATTCGTGTAACAGCCCCTCCAGCTGCTAGGTTTGAAAATTACGCCAAGGCCTCTAATCTAATCTACTTGGTCATATTTCTGGTAGAGTAATCGCTCAAGATCTCACCCAAACCTTCCTCTTCGTTTTCCTCAAAAGGGCTCTCTTCCATCTCGGCATCCCACATGCCCTTGTCTCTTTCCTCATTACTAGTTTGGTCTCTGCGGCCACTTGGACCCGACAAAGCTTCTTTTTAAGTACCCCACCCTGCCTCTTGGTTTTGCCTTCATTTGCATAAATTGGTGAATTAAGTGCCATCTACTACCGAGTTAATTTTTAAGTTGCGGGGTCCGAGCCTCTCTCATCTGCCAATATTTTTTCCTTAATCAATTTAACTCCTCTGTTGGTAGATGTTGTAATTTAACAGGGCAATCGATATGGACTAGACTAACAGAATCCTTTGTATGTCTCTGTCAAGCAGATGAAGTGATTATATCCAGTACCAAGAAAAGTTGGGTTTTTTTTTTTTTCCAAAATAAAAATAGAAGCACCACCAAACTTCGGTATTTTATAGCCTGTTCACCTTTCGACGTCACGTCTGGTTAGTGAATCACAAAATAATCATATATAAGTATCCTATGAAATCAGGTCAATAATTCGGTTCCATTGATGTCAATTTAATAACAATGGATCTAAACGGAGGGGGGATTACTGGGGAGGATAAACTCTTGCGATCAAGAGAGAACGTTTTCAAATGCTTAGAGAAAAAAAAATGTAAATTATATAAAAGTAAAGGGGAAAAAGTGAGGGTGAAGGTCTGGGAGTGAAGTCTATATAAATAGAGAAAACATTTGGAAGAGAGTAATGTAAGACAATAATAATGAGGGAATAGTGGGGGGAAGTTGCTTGTTGAGAGGATAATAATAAAAGAGAGGTAAGGTAAGGTAAGCATATAGATTTGTAAAAGAAGAGAATAATGGGTAGGGGGTTGGATGACCCCCAACTACATGTGCTCGTGTATTGTCAACCACCTCTCTCTATTTTCTCATGCCTTGGGACACCTCACGCAATGTCTGTGCCCACATGCTTTGCTTACCAGCGTTCACCATAACCTCCCCCCATTTAGATTTGGATACCCCTAAACTAATTAATCGCCATAATCTCTCTCCACCTAATTTAATCAACGTCTCATCTCCTCCCTCAAAACGCAAATATAAGGTCTGTGTTGCAAGTCGAGCGAGCGAGCTGAGTGTGAGAGTGGACCCTACTGCGTATTAATCTGAACCCAAATAAAATTGTCTGTGGCCTCAGACTCGACTCAGCAGTATCAAATTTGTATGGCTCCTGCTCCTCCCAGACAATCCCAAGGCTCTCTCCCGGGGATAATACCACGCACGTCATCTTCTCAACTCGGAAAGTAAGATTGATCAGTTCAGCAGTGTCACTGGGACTGTCCTGAGAGGTGGAGAGAGACATATGGCATGCGGTGGCATTTAATCCATGATCCTTTATTCCGTGCATTAAATGGAATAGTGTGAGCGTGGGAGTGTGGGTGATCCCAGAAAGAGACGCTCCGAGTGTGAGAGATATCTTTTAGCTTTTTATTATAATTAGTACAATTACAATGAATAGCACCCAAAAGGAACCTAATCCACCTCTTTTGGTTGTGGTGTTGCTTCTGCCAAACCCTAGCTAGCACCTCTCTCTCTCTCTCTCTCTCTCTCTCGTGTAAGAACCAACAACGCTACAACTCCATCCATGCACGCCCCAAAATATATATTAAATAAAAACTGACGAAAAGAAAAGATGCCCCATCGCTCCTTCACTTTCCGTGAATGAAAGGCAACCATCAACACTAGCCACTTGCTCACTCAAAGTATTCCCATTCGTGTATATGTTCCGCCACTACCGTACTGCTCGTTTGTCAAAATGGCGATTATTATTATTAATTAATTAATTATAATCATAAACCAAAGAATCCATAGTTACGGGTATTTGTAAATTATAAATAACGCTAATAATTCACATTCATCCATCATTAACCTCCCTGATAAACAATAATTAATTATAACTTGTTTTTCTCTTCCCCCTGGCCTAATAATGGCAGTCCACCAGAGACGGAGCGGACAGCACCAGTGGTTTTTCTTTCGCTCTGCACTCGAACTTGGAATCCCGCTGATCCTCTTCCGGCGCCGGCAGGTTTAGATCCAACGCCAGCACTCTTGGCTTCACTTCAGCTGCAGCGATGTCATGACTCCCCTGGGGCGCGCCAGCGGTCATGGATGCCCTGTGCCTCCTCATGTGGCCCCCCAGTGCCTGCCCAGACGTGAATTCGGACCCGCATATGGAGCACTCGTGAATCTTCGCCTTGTTGATCGATGCGACTCCGTTCATGCTGCTGCCTAGTTGAAGAGAAATCTGGGGGCTGCTTTTTATCCGACCCTCTTCAATCCCATAACTGTTGATAAGTTGCGGCGGTATTGGCGGCGGCGGCGGCTGTTTCTTCTCCTCTAACGTCAGCTTAGGCTTTTTGTGGCTTGCCCTGTGCCCGCCCAGCGCTTGAAACGAAGGAAAGCTGCGGTTACACGTTTTGCACTCGTACACGAACAAACCGACTTGAGCGGCACCGGCAGTGACGGTGGGCGTCTCGACGAATCTCCGGCTGCCTCCCGGATGGGTTCTGGCGACTTGAGATTGAGGTCGGTGCTTGAGATGATGAGAATCCCCGCTCTGGGCCAAGAGAATTAAGCAGTTAGCCATGTCTTCCTCTTCCTCGGTGCTCTCATCATAATTATGAGTGGTCGTGGTGGACGAGATGGAGCCGTAATCTCCTCCGGCGCTGATGTGTTCGCCAGAGACGCTTGATGAGCTAGAGGCCATGGCCGCGACAACAGCACAGGGCGAGGAGGGCCTGTGCCTCTTGGTACGCTTGCCCTTGGCGATGTGCGTACGGAGGCATGGCTTTTAGACGGCCCCGCGAGCTCCAATTCCTCCGCACCTTCCATGTTAGCAAGCTCGCGCGGAGACGAAAGAGACTTATATATGTGTATGTAAGTGTTTGTGCGCCCAGGGAGGGGGAGAGAGAGAGAAGTGAGAAGAAAAGGTGTAGAGTGAAGAGTTATATATATATATATATATATATGGGAGAGGGGTCCAAGAAGAAGCCGTCCCCTCCTCTTCGTTATATATAACAGCTAACTCTCAATGAGCCTGGCACCCCAAAAATCTTCCTTGCGTTTCCAACCTTCGAAGTGTTACTCACAAGGAAACTTCTCACGCGCTTTCAGTTTCACGTCACTCCCACGCTCCCATCTTCGCCACACTTTTCCCTCTCTTCCTACCTATTATTATCTCTCTCTCTCTCTCTCTCTCTCTCTCTCTCTCTCTCACAGTTGGGTTGGGTGTTACTTACTTCTCTCTCTCTCTATATCCCTCAGCTTAATTAATTCACTCACAACTAAACATGCTTTTTGTTATTGAATTTGTTATTTATGAATTAAATTTAGGTTTCAAGAGTAGAGGTGCATGCGAGTGAGCAGAGATTAGCGTCGTCTTATCAATCAGACGGTATCCAAAAAGAAAAAAGAAAAGAAAAGAAAAGAAAGTTAGGTTAGGATTAGAGATGGAAATTAGTGGCAGATCTGTGGTAACTGCTAAAGAGGAAAAGTGTAGGGAAAGTTTTAAAACTAGGAGTTCAAGTAAGGTTGGTGTTAACGTTCTGATAAGTCGGTTTCACTCTTTTCCCTTTTTTATTAAAAAAAAAGAGAAAATAAAAATTATTACACTTAGTAGAGTAATAAAGCCAAGTACCAGCTGATGGGGAGACGTGGATAAAAATTTACATAAGCCAGTGAAGCAAAAGTGCACGTTAAAAGCATGTCAACCCCCTTATTCAGTCCATTTCCGTTTATTAAAGAAATGTGCTAATCCCGTTTGAATTATCAGATAAGATCGATTTGGGGTGCCTTTCAAGCAAACCCCTTTAATCTTTAGGGGAGGAAAATTAAACTTTAATAGTTTTATTTGTTTTTATTTACGTCAATGGATTTGGGGGGGGGGGGGAGTGTGTGTACACTGTAAGCGCTCTCGTAATAGCGTATGAGGCAGTGAGTGAGGAGTCCAATGAGAAAAGAAAGGGACAAATGTGGAATGTCAAGTATAGGATTCAGTTAAGGAGAGTATGTGTAGATTGCAAGTATGTGACATAAGCACTTTAATTACCACGCTTCTGATACCGGAGGGCTGCTATACATATATATATACACATACACACACACACACTCATCATCTGCCTGCAGCTCATCTGTCATGATAATTAATTATGGCTAAACCATGCTAATCATTTCATGTCTCTCAATACTGGAACTTTTGAAAATTAATTTACAACTAATCATCATCATCGCCTTGTTTAGCTTCTAAACAGGTTTTTCTTTTGTTATTTTGTTAATTTCATTCCCTGGTTTTCTTCTCATTATAATTAGGTGCCAGAATGCGCCTTTCCTCCCCTGCTCGCGAGGCTTAATTGCGATATAATTTACCAATCATCAAAGGTTATAATCCCTGTAAATAAATCCGATTATCATGTATACCCAAATCATAATTAGGTTTTCACTAATTAAAAACTGAAAAAAGAAGACCAACCGACCACGTGATGTTATATATATAGATCTAATAGAACGCTTTACCTCTAATTTCAGATCATTAGACATGTTTTGATGCGGGTGAAGCTGTTACATGTGTGTTGTTTTGACATTATTAGCGGGGTTTGTATAGGTACGTAAGAGTCAAAAGACATTTATGGTGCGTTAAGATTAATGAGGATTTGAATTTAAATCTGAATATACAAAAAAATTATAAATTTAAATTAAAATTATGTTTTATTATAATTCCTTTTTAATTTTAAATTCTCTATATATCTTAATCATTTGAAATTTCAATTACTTTAAATCTTTATTGTTTTTTGTATTTTTATTATTGATGTTTTTATGACTTTTGTATATATATATATTTTTCATTTTTGTTATTGTCTCTCATCAATTGAAAAATAGAGATAAACTCATCACTTTTTATTTTTCATTTTTGTTTCAAATTTCAACACATCATTTATATTTTTTTATTTTAAATGTGAGATTTAAGATATGATATTTTAACACTAAAAACGAAATTTAAATCCGCCAATTTAAATACTACCAAATATTCATCTATTCCAATGCGCGCATATGTATGTACCAAAGTATGATTTAATCAATTAATAAATAATTAGAGTCTTAAAATAATCCTCCCCTAGCCAGGCCAAGACATGGTCCGCTGGGAATACTCGTTCGTTAATATATTTTGAAGCAAGGAAAAAAGACAGCACCGATGGCAATGAACAATCTTTTCATTTCTAGATGCCTAGGATTCTATAGTTTTATTTAAACTTGAAAATTTTTCAAATGGCTCCATTATTTAGATTGCATAATATTGTGGGGAATGGTTTATATATTAATTGAGTCGACTGTAATTAACAGGTTCATGAACCTTAGCCTGCTTACAGTTACGGATTACCGACCAAATTTGATGGTGCCAAAGACTCGTGGCATCCCTAATTGGTCGGTCCAAATTAATTAATTTCTATTACTCTTCAGATCTATTTATATTTGCATTTTTGAGTATCTAATCTTTATACAGTATGCTATCAAATAGGTGTGGCTATCACAATCATCTAAACGGGTTCTGTATATTCTGGCTCACCTACTTGGACCTCTGAAATTGGTTATTACTGAATTAGAAAAACAAGATCCGACAGATGGGAAAATTAATGTATAATATAATTGATAAATTGAGAAGGAACTTGGAAGCCAACAAGTTGTCATTCAAACTTGCTCTGGGTCACGTTTTAGTTTTAGAATCTTTGTATATATCAATCTGTGTACGCTAACCTTATATTCCTTCCGTTGCTAGCTACATGTAGCGCATGCTAACGAACCAAACAAAGTGAGTCACGAAATCAATGGCTGAACATCATCCTTATCTGATATGGCCCAAGTTTGGCTCTCTTGGCGCTCATAATAACCATTAACAAAGTTTGATTTAGCAAAAGAAGCCAGTCCTTTATCATGCAGTAAACTAAGGTTTGAATACTCATCCAGAGAATAAAAATATGCACATTTAGTGCTTGATCGTGTCTGAAATAATTGATAAATGCTTGCAGAAAAAATATACAACCAGAAAAATTGTGATTAATGGTGGCAATTAGATTGTTTGAGGAAAGTGATTGATGACGATGAGAGTAATTAGGACTTGGTAATTTATAATAATGAAATGGTATGTGTGGTAGCAGCCATATAATTAAGGTTGTGCCATACCTAAGCCGACAGTATGTTTTTTTAATCTCTTCATGTGTTGTATCCATCTGTCACCATGCGGAGAAACAAAATTAAACATGAACGGGCCTTACCGCTTCTGGGTCAATCGATGCATGCACATATAGCTCATGAATATAATAAAAACATGAGCAAATTAGGGGGAAAAACAAAGTGACACTGAAGGAAATTTGGTCCCAATGCATTGGCTAATGGAAATTAAATTGGAGGATACATGTGGGAGTGATCAATAATTGAGGCAACATTTTAATTGTGAGACAAGTAAGAGGAAAGGTTCATTGAACAGTGATTTTTTTTTTTTTCAGAATGAAAAGTAGAAGAGATGGGTATGAAGATTCTTAGCGTAGCAAATAATAAAATGTGATGAACATACAAGTTGTGTTGTGTGAGGCACGTAATGTTGATGAGGATCCGATTTGCCCTCCCATATCCTGCTAGCTAGCTCTCTGGCTCCAATTCACTGGTATATAACTGCTTTCTCTCTTTTTCTTCATTTATTTTATCATCTTTAATTTAAAGGCCAAGAAACATGACATATTATTTTTATATATTATGATCAGTGGAGTGTGTATATATATATATAATAATAAACGTGACTATGCAGCCCTTTTGCAGCAAAAGCGCTCACACGCAGCAATTTTTAATTAATAACTCAACTCAACTTCTTGCTCATAGACGTCACTTCCAATGAAATACTTTATGTTTCTTTTTCCCTCCTTTTGCTCACATTTATTCTTTTTAATAATTTGTAAAAAGTTCAGCACATTGTCACCGCAGCGAAACATTAGAATTCAATTCCATGCTTTGGCATGGAAAAAGTTGAGTCAGCAACCATCTCACCGATTCAGTTACTAAAGTTTTTTTTTTTTTTCAAAATCCATTATGTATCTATACATCTTGCAGTTATAGAATTAATTTCTTATAAAATGTGAGTACTTTATCTTCTCTTAAGCGATACTTTTGAGTTATTAAAGTTTTATTACTGCTACTATTATTAATTTAGTTATAATATCCTATAAATAATTTAGTTGAGTCAATGACCTTATTTTCACTAAGACCAATTGAGTTAAATATAATAAACAGTAAAATGATGTGTTTTATGAAATATTGAATTCAATTAATAACAGTATATAAAATTTTAAGTGCTGAAGTAATGATTCATATCTCTTAAAAAATCAGCATGGTGTTGATTATTGAACAAAAATAATGCAATACAAAAGTTAACAAAGCGCGGGACTTTTACGGGGTTAAAAAAAAAAAAAACAGAGAGAGATCTGAGGAGTGAGAACCATCAACCGGTATTACAAGAAAAATGAGGATCTAAGGGTCAAAACTTTATCTCACATCTGATGTGATATCATGGTATTCTTCCCAGCACAGGTAAGTATTTAGACGATAAGGACGCAACTGTCAAGGAGCACTTTTTTCTCGGAATAGCAGGTACAGATTTATCATGATCATGCATGGTGCAGGGACTTTATAAACTTTCACAAATGGTATTTTTTTATATATTTAATTAAAACGAGTCTAAAATAATGATAAATGTGGTATATTTTTCAATTTAATATATATGTATGACTGGATAATTTCTTGCATATGAAAAATGAAATGAATAAACCCAGCCGGATTTTTTGTGAAAAAAAATCAAATTGAAAAAACATAATTTTATATTCTTACATTTTGTTTGAGTTTTGTTACAGGTCCTTACACTTTTTTTAAATATTTTAAGTCTTTAATTTTTATTTTTTAATATTTTAAATCCCTTCATAAAAGGTATTATAAGGATC